CATTAAAGAATTTAAGGATTCTTTTAAATAATGAATTTTCTTGCACTTCTTGTTATCAACGCAAGTTAATTATTAGACCATCACCAACAAAGGTTGGAATTGAGTCCCCTGCATTTTTGGAACGTATACAAGGGGACATTTGTGGACCTATTCACCCACCGAGTGGGTCGTTTAGATATTTTATGGTCTTAATAGACGCATCTTCTAGATGGTCCCATGTGTGCCTATTGTCATCTCGCAACCTCGCGTTTGCAAAATTAATGGCACAAATAATTCGATTACGGNTAGTGATCCGTTTTGACAAAGTTGTCTCTTGACCACCATCACCATCTTCCTTCAAAGCATAAAGCTCTGAGCTTCTCCCTGGAGCAAGCTGCAGGTACCAAACTCCAGGAAACGCTTTCATTTGCCAATAACCCAAATTGGCCATGACAAGTGTGTCAACCAAGTGCGGTGTACTCTTAGTGCCAAGGATCAGCTGAAGGCCTCGAGGAGGCTCATGATCCTTCTCGGAGCAGTGACCTGGTCAAATGGTTTAGAAACTAGAGAAATTAACTCACTCGCAGCGGAACCATGACATTATTCTTCTCTAGTCAATATTTCAGGTTACTAAAGCGATCACATCAAATGGAGGAGAATCAAGTACCTGTTAGGACAAGTGCTTCTAGTTCATACACTGCTTGCAGTGTCCTAGTCTCTCCTAGGTTTTCAAGCAATATATTATCTAGGTCATGGCTGCACGTTTATGCAAATATTAGACATGACTAGGTGGCCTGCCATATGTATGGTAATTAGCTCCACAATTCTTTTAAATACTTACATGGCAACAACAGGCTCAACAAGCCAAGGCTCGGGAACATCAAGATTCATAGTCAGCGTCTTAGAAGGTGGCATATTAGCGAAAAATGCTTTGGGACCATAAATGGTGTAATCTGTACTACTAAAGTCATCCTGCAAAATTAGCAAAATGAGATGGAGAGCATGATATGTCTAAAGGGCTTAATTTATCAACAACAAAAAAAAGGAATGACTGGCATACCAATGTTGGTATAACATATCTGTAGTAGTTCTTCAACGGGAGATCAACCAGTGAGCTCTGCAAGTAAAAAGATAATGCTAATTTCTTAAGCCTGAGGTTTACTGACAAAGCCTTTACTTTGAGGTGTTTCATATGATTAATAAAGAGGCAATATACCATAGGACATGCACACATTGAGGATGTTCCATATTATTAATACAGAGGCAATATACCTTAGGACATGCAGATATTTGGGAGACAGAAAATGCAAATCGTATGTTAAAAGCTAAAGTAGAAATTTGTACAATCTGTTTAGCCTGCTAAATGAACAAGAGCAAGATAGTCAGTATTAACATCTCATATTTGGAGCATCCTAATAACAAAAGGGACATGAAAATTTTTGAAACACTATCTTCTAAGTTCAGCCATTTCTGACACTTCAAAATTTAACTGCTTAAGCTTCAGCTGTTTCAAATTAGGTTTCATCTCCAATCACTAGCAAGGGGAATGTATCTCCTTGGTTTGCAAATTGAACATTTGGCAAACGGAATTTTTGTTCATCAATCTGCCTACATAGAAAAGGTACTGAAACGGTTTTACATGGATGGAGTCACATCCATTAAGTACTCCGATGGTTGTTCGATCACTTGATGTGAATAAGGATTCATTCCGACCTCAAAAAGAGAATGAAGAGCTACTTGGTCCTGAAGTACCATATCTTAGTGCAATTGGTGCACTAATGTATCTTGCCAATACTACAAGGCCTGACATAACTTTTTCAGTTAATGTCTTAGCAAGATATAGCTCTGCTCCCACAAGGAGACATTGGAATGGGATCAAACACATATTGCGGTATCTAAAAGGGACTACCGACATGGGCTTATTTTATGGCAACAATTGCAGTCCCGATCTTGTTGGTTATGCTGATGCTGGGTATTTATCTGACCCACACAAGGCTCGGTCTCAAACAGGTTATGTGTTTACCTGTGGAGGCACTGCCATATCTTGGCGATCGACTAAGCAATCAATTGTGGCTACTTCATCTAATCATGCTGATAATTGCTATTCATGAAGCAAGTCGAGAATGTGTGTGGTTGAGGTCTATAATACATCTTATTCGAGACAAATGTGGTGTGAAATGTGACAAGTTACCCACAATTTTGTATGAAGATAATGCAGCATGCATAGCTCAATTGAAGGGAGGATTCATAAAAGGAGATAGGACAAAGCACATTTCACCAAAATTATTTTTCACACATGATCTTCAAAAGAATGGTGATATCAATGTGCAACAGATTTGTTCAAGTGATAATATGGCTGATTTGTTCACAAAATCTCTACCAACGTCAACCTTCAAGAAGCTAGTGTACAAGATCGGGATGCGAAGACTCAAGGATGTGAATTGATGCTCTCATCAGGGGGAGTTAATGCGCGTTGCACTCTTTTTCCCTTACAAGGTTTTGTCCCACTGGGTTTTCCTTGCAAGGTTTTTAACGAGGCAACCAAAGGGCGTATTATTAGATATGTGTACTCTTTTTCCTTTTCTAGAATTTTTTTTCCCACTGAGTTTTATTTTAGTTAAGGTTTTAACGAGGCACATTATCTGTTGAATAGACATTCAAGGGGGAGTGTTATAAATAGAATTGTATTTATGGTGAATGTCTATATTTAGAGAGATTCTAGGGTTCATTGCTTGGTGGCTAAGTCACCCTCTCCCTATAAATAGAGGCTTCTATTCCAATTGTAATTCATCCCAAATCAATAAAAATTCTCTCTCCCTACTTTTCTCTACAATACTCTTCTTCTTTTATTGTTTCATAACACGTTATGAATTATCGTTATAAAAATTGGAAAAATGAAGAAGGCAGTCACATAATAAAAAATAAAAATAAAACAAGTATATTTCTCTTAATACTTGTTGAATTTTTGATTGGTTATTTGCTGATTAGATCTGCTAGCAAATCGAGTATAAGGCATCTTTAAATCAATAATTTTTCGGTGGATCGTTTGAGCATATTTGGATCTAATATCTCGTCTCTTTTAAATTTTTATGAATGTATGTTCTGTGACATTTACCATATCATTGCTTTGAAGGAATCTGGGAAATTAATAGACAATTTTCAGGGTCCGTTGGTTTTTCCTTCCCCAGCTAGTTTTATTTCATGCTGACTATAGTGTCGTCATGTCTCTTTGGGACATGCAATAAAATTGGAACAATACAGAGAAGATCAGGGTGGCCTCTCTGCATGGATGATATACCCAAATCAAGAAATGATTTAAATTTTTAAACGAGAAAAAAAGAACCTAAGTATCATCCTTAGTCCTTTACTATAAATGACAAAAATAGAGGCAGATATGTGGTAATTGAGGTTAGATAAGTGTTGGAATTTAATAGTTGTAAGAAGAATCGCCTTATTTCCTACCGCTGACGAAAACCTGGTATTTAAGTGAAGAAGGTAGAGGGGGCACATTATCCACCGAACCGAGAGCCACTGGCCCTCGGGGATTTCTCAGTTATAAATTATCGCCTTATTTAGCTAAAAACAAAATTCAATTTTGACTTGTAATTCTGTCCCTTTAACTGCCCATATGACTTTCATTGTTTCATTTTGTTCCTAAATCCTGATGGATTTCACATCAAGTAGTTATTCCCATTTGTTGAAGGCAACTCATTAATATCCTTTGATTTGGTAATAATTGGTAGCAGTAATTTTAGGTCATGTGCTTCTTGCATATTGGTGGTTGTGCATTATTTTGTTGATAAAGAGAAATCCTGATTTGTTTTGAGTGAAACAGACTACCATTGACATATATCACTCACGATGGCTCCAGCAACTGCAGAATCAATAAAGCCTAGAGGTAACAGATTTGTTTTTTCTGCACATTGCTTAGAAAATGTATAGGTTATTTCTAATATCATGTCATCATAGATGTAGCATTGTTTTAACTTCAATATGAGCCAGCACCATGATCACTATGTTTCTGTAGTTGCTTTTGGTTACTGTGTTATTAAAAGCTTGCATGATAAGAAATAGGTCTCCACTTTGGTCCTGCAGAGCGAGGCAAATGTAATAAAGGGAGTACTTCGTTCAGTTTTTGCACTTATATTTGAACTTCCGTTTCCAAAAATATTGTTAAATCTGTGTTGTACTTCTGTACATAAATGTGAAATTTTCAAATGCATATTTCAACTATGCACAGAGGCGGACCTATGCTTATAGACAAGGAGTCACAGAACCCCATTAACTTCGGCAAATTTTTTAATATAGGAGTGAATATATATTAAAAACGGTTATATTATTTGTTTAGAATCCTTAAAATTAAAAGTCCGATGGAGGCATTGATTGAACAGTTTGTTGGTGTGCTCCCGCCACTTTCAAATCCTGGGTCTGCCTCTGACTATGCATTCCTAGTTGGGGCCGTCAGAGTGGAAGTATTCTTTTGAAGTTTGTTATCTTAATTAGAGATTCTGAAAATTGGCAAGTAAATCTTTTTTTACTGCAACTATGACATTTCTACTTGTGTTCCTATACCAAGAAACAATTTCTTTTCCATTAAGCGTCATGCCTCTTACCATTTACTTATTATTGTTTCTTCTTTTTTATAAAAAATGACACCAGAAGTTGCTGCAAACCCAGGCTTATTTTGCATTTTGCTTTCAATTTCAGGAGCACAAGGTTCCTTAAATTCTAGTTTCTCATTATATTGCCTATTCTTTTTGCTTTATGTTGAACAGATGTTTGTGTTGTTGGTGTTGCCCGTACTCCAATTGGGGGCTTCCTTGGCTCTCTTTCATCATTGTCAGCAACTAAACTTGGATCAATTTCCATCGCCGGTAGGACTCTTTACTAATCTGCTGTAATTCTTTCATTATAGAGAATTATTGTCAAATTGCGGTTAGAATTTTATTTGAAATTATATTGATCTCTCTTTTTAATGCAACTATAGGTGCTTTGAAGAGAGCAAATGTTGACCCATCACTTGTAGAAGAAGTTTTCATTGGAAACATCCTCAGTGCAAACTTGGGACAGGCTCCAGCTAGACAAGCAGCATTGGGTGCAGGAATACCCAATTCAGTGATTTGCACTACCGTGAACAAAGTTTGTGCATCTGGAATGAAAGGTCTGCACTGTCTAGTCGAAGTAGATCCATTTCCTAGAGACACCCCCCCACCCCCACCCCCCAAAAAAAAAAACCCCCCTTTTTACAACTGTTATTAGAGCCAAGAAGATGTGTATGGTTTTTAACTCCTCGTTCCTTTATATGGCTTTTCAGCAACTATGCTTGCAGCACAGAGTATCCAGTTGGGCATCAATGATGTTGTTGTGGCTAGTGGAATGGAAAACATGTCTAATGTCCCTAAGTACATTGTGGAAGCAAGGTTTGTCTTATTCAAAAGTTCAGTTAGTACAATTGCTGTTTAGACTTTGGTCTCCACCCTCCTCCCAAGCAAAGAAAAAGAAGAGTAATATAGAAAAAGATTTTCTTGAAGTCACAACTATAAGGAGAATAATGGCCATTTCCGAGTTTGCTACATATCTTTCAGGGAAGTCTCATCGTATCATCGACTGACTCCCACGTTCACTTTGTTTAATCAAACCATGTGCTGTCCCGTTCTTAAGTTTGACCACAAGTGTAATAAACACTCTAAAAGAAACCAAGTATTACTGTTGTTGCTATTCCTTTCACTTATGGTTTCCCTGCCTTCATATTGACCATTTCCGGGATTGCTCTTTCTCTATTTGACATCTTACTCCCTCACCCTAGAGTTCTATATTGTTTATGGATTGTGCTGTGTGGCAGACTTGTTTTACCTCTCAATTCCTTTCTGCTCTTTTATAAGCTCTGATTACATTGTTCCTCAATATGTAATGGCCTAAATTGGCACACTTGCAGGAAGGGATCTCGTCTTGGTCATGACAGTCTTGTTGATGGAATGCTTAAAGATGGTTTGACTGATGTCTATAATGATTGTGGTATGGGAGTTTGTGCAGAAATATGTGCTGAGAACCATAAAATTACAAGAGAGGATCAGGTTTGTCTTCACACTCTCTTCTTTTTTTCCGTGAAATACATAACTACACAAAGTGGTGTTTGGCTTTGATGTAAACTGACATATCAAACGTTGTCATATCTTAATTCATGTGATTTGTAATAATAAGCATTTCCTCTTTTACTTTCTCTTTGTTTCTTTTGATATTTAATTATTTTCCATTTATACATGTTTTTGTCACAATGAATTCAAGATTGGATACACTGCATTCTCTCTCTCTCTCTCTCTCTCTCTCTCTCTCTCTCTCTCTCTCTCTCTCTCTCTCTCTGTTTTGTAGAAATTGAACAATTCAAACTTTATGTTCTTCTGTCTACACTTCTATCACAGAATTCGTTTGTGGAAAAACTATCATTCTGTCATCTCTTTGTTACAACCATTTGTTTTACAGTGCTGTCATGTCTGAAATAGATATGCTAAGAAGTCTTTTAAAATCCAAGGGAGTTAAGTGCTTATGTCTGAACTATATATGCAGGATAACTATGCAGTTCAAAGTTTTGAACGGGGCATTGCTGCTCAGGAAGCTGGTGCGTTTACATGGGAGATTTTGCCGGTAACATAACTGGATCTTCATTGCTAGATATAGCTCATAGACCATAGTTAAAACACAAAAAGTTCCTTTCAGCTTGTTATACCATTGTTTAAACCATTTTCTGGGGAATTTCAGGTTGAGGTGCCTGGCGGAAGAGGAAAACCATCCACCATTGTTGATAAGGATGAAGGTCTAGGAAAGGTGAGTACATATACTGCAAGCAAAACTAAAATACCATTGATGCCTTGGTTCCTTTACATCTTACCTTGAGGTGCTCCAATGAATTTACTGATTCAAGGACATAATCCGTGGATGAGGAGAGAAATAGGAATCCAGGAGAAAAGTTATTTCCTAAAATGCAAAAATTTATATCCGGGCAATCATCTTTTTAACATATAGAAGGGAATGAAGAAATTTATGAATGCAGTATCTGCCTTTCAAATGCCAGAAGGATCAAAGAGATGAATTTACTTTCTTAGTTGCTAAAACAGGTTAAACATATATCAACAGACATTTTACAAGGCCTATAATTTCCTGCCTTTGTCTTTAAAGCTATCAGGTTTTATATCGCACATATTTTTTGTTTTCTATTGCTAGTTTGATGGTGCAAAATTGAGGAAACTCCGACCAAGTTTCAAGGAAAAAGACGGCACAGTAACTGCTGGTAACGCTTCTAGCATAAGGTTTGTTGACTTTCATGCACCATCTTATATTCTTTTAATTCTGCCGTTTATAAATTAAGAACTGTTTGTTGACTAACAAATAAATGCATTTAATCCTTTTCTCTTATTGGTTAACTACTCTGAAATTTACTTGCACCAACCACCATGTCCTGCTATCAGAATGTACTGATCCCCAAAAAATAGGCTGGACATGGATTTTCCGCAATTTTAGCAAAAATGTCATATCTGCTAGTATGATTTTATTTCCTCAAGCAAAGTGAACTTTTTCTTTCCATCCTTAGGATCGAGTAGTTGTAGGTTTTGTTTGACTCAAAAGTTGTTTAACACTTTTTAAGCAAATCAATTAATATAGATGAAGGGGTAAATCATAGTCAACCATAATTAATGCTGGATCAAAGAGCAGAATCATAAAAATAAAAGAAACAATTGAGATGACATTGATTGTAGAAATTCGGTCTGCCTCTCCTTGGAGAGGTTCAGGAGATTACAATCAAATTCTTTCTCCCCCCCCCCCCCCCCCCCTCTCGGAGGCGGAATCTCTCCCTTTATAAAGTTGTTTGATCTCTCTTTCATGGAGTTCTCTCTCTTTCATGGAGTTCCCCTCTGTTTTTGGATCCTCCCCTCTCTTTAAGGGGTTCTTCTGCCCTCTATTTATAGCCCAGAACTTCTCGTGCTTATCATATTTCATTCGGGCCAGGTCAGGGAGGTGACCTCCCCTCATGGGGAGGCCTCAACCTCGACGCTCATGTCGTAAATAGCAGCGTTTAGATGAAGTCGAGTTCGTTGATTACTACTGCAGGGTGGTCGGGACGGGATCATTGCTGCTGTGGTTGTGTGGTCAGATTCTGACCAATACAGTTAGTCCCTCCGTTCGTCGGGGTCGTATCTTACCGACCTTGGCGGACGGATAATGTTTGTGACGTAATCGTGGAGGGAGTTAGATTTGCGTCTCTTTGGTCGCGTTATGAGTTTCGAAACTGCCAGGAGGCGTCTTTCTAATACTCTTATGTCGTCACGACGATTTCGAAACCGAAGAGCCGATTGATAAACGAAAAGTAGTTTTGTATAAGCGGTCACAGTGGCGCATGTTCCCGAGAAGCTGAATCATTTCATGCCCGGCCAGGTTCTGGCGGCGACCGTTGGTTTTTGTGCCCCGGAGAATTTGTGTCTTATAAATTGAAGGGGTTTGTCACTCGTTTCTCACACTTTATCGCTCATCTTCGAGAGAATTCCCAGAATATCTCCCTTTCTATTAGTTTGAGCTCTTCTTGACTCTTTTGCTCGCAGAATCTTTAGCTTTCTCGCTTCTTCCTCAAAGTTCCTCCCTCCTCTCTTTGCGAGTTAAAGATGACAGGAACTCCTTCTCACGATAATCTTCCGACTATCTCTCCGGCGGCCGGGGACCCTGCTTCGGTAGACGGAGACGTAGACCCGATGGAGTGCGAAGATGTTCCTTCAGTAGAGGAAATTTTATCCCGCCCGGGGAAGGCAGTGGTGGATTTCAGCGCCGATGGTGGTGCGAAGCAGGTAAATATTCCTCCCCTTATAGGGGAGATCGGAATAGCGGATTTAAGGGCACGATGGCGTATTCCTGGTTATGTCGAGATGGTACCGCAAAGAGAGAAGATAGGGTCCAGATCGACCGTCCCGGGTTCTGCTCGTTCTATGCTTACCCCTTCCTAGTGGGGTACACACTTCTGCTTCCAGTGTTGGTGGTCGACTTCTGCCGCTATTATGAGGTGTGTCCCGCCCAACTCTCTCCTTATCTGTACAATCTGTTCCTCATGTTTACCGAGTACGCGGAGCTAGCGGGTCGGGAGGTCACTCTGAGACACGTGCTCAGCCTGTTCGCTCCCCAAAAGATTCGCGGCACTATGATCCACGCGTGTCCCCGAGGGTCGAAAGGTTTAGTGGTCAAGATGGATGACAGGACCAATCGTCATTTTTTGATAACTTTTTCTATGTGCGGACCGAGCACCTTGTAGCGGATCCAACTGGGTTTCCAGAGATGTGGAATTTTGCCCGTAAGTCTTCGTCCTTGACTAGTGGAGTGCCCACTTTGGCCTCACTTTCTTCATATCTCTTGTTGTAAATATTGATCTATTTCGATGCTTTGCAGCCGAGAAGTTACCCCCGCCTCCTCTGGAGGGGATCCGAGAATGGGCCGAGGCCATTCTTCCCCATACAGCGGGAGTTGCACATGGTCGACGTTTCATATGAGATTCGGACGTAGGCCCCTTACAGGTGAGATAGCGCCCTTATTTTTTTACCCGTTCTCTTTCGTTTCGATCTTACCTTTCGAGTATTGTTTGCCGTGGCCAGGGAGGGTTCGGAGAGTCAGGGCTCCTCAGTTAGCTTTCCGTCGGCCGGCCGCGTCCGCTCGTATCAGAGCAGTACCTGCAGCCCGTCCTTCGTCGAGGGAGGCGTCGGTAGAATCTGTGGCTTTAGCCGCTCCGACCCGAACTATATCTCCGTAGGAAGGTCGGTCTGGTACCGTCCGTCCTCAAAACGACTCGCCATCAACCGGGGAGGAAGAAGGGCCATCTAAGAGGCGGAGGGTAGTGTTTGAGATGGTTCCTCCGGCAATGATCAACTTGGATTCACCCCAGCAAACCCAGAGGAAGGTGTTGTTGCGACGTCTACCGCTGAGGGGGAGCGAATGGTCGGGGCTGTTCCCACCAGTCAGAGCCAGGAAAATTTCGTTGGTGTAGCGACCCAATCAGGAGTTCTCGCTGCTGATGACGCAGGACATCTCGCTGTAGCGGAGAATCGGACCCCTGATGCTGCCGTCATGACCTCGAGTGCGCCGTTACCGTCCTCGGTAGGTCGTGCCACATCATCGGCAGCGGAGAGGGGAAAGAGTGTAGTGATCGACGAATACGAGTCCGAGTCTAACTTGGACCCTGATGATGTTCGGATGTTCGAGGAGGGCATTACTCGCTCGGTGGTTAATGTGGAGGGGTCGGCTCGTCTCGTTGAGATCCCTTCCGACGTGAATCTGTTGACACAAGGAGGCAACTTAGTACCACAATTTAGCTTGTTGTGTTCGGAGGCCGAGAACGAGTCCCTGAGGAATGTTTCGGATGTCGAAGTGATGGACGAAGTAGCTGTAATGGGCTTACGGGTATGTTATATCTGACTTCGATTTGTTTCTCCTTTGTTGCGGAATGAGCATCAGTTTAACTGCTTTCTTGTTTTGCAGACGTACATGTTGGAGGTAGAGAACATTCGTAGGGCCAATATTCGGTCGAGGATCTTCTTGCAGATGCTGGAAAAATACTATCGCTATCGCGATAGGTGCCGTGAGTTGCACGAACGATTAAGGACTGATCCCCGCAACCGGGCTTTGGGCGAGGAGTTGGAGAAGAGGGACTAGGAGCTAATGTAGGCGCTCCGCAGCAAGAGCGAGCTCGAAGAGCAAATCCGCCTCAAGGACGAGGAGCTCGAGGTGGGCAAAGGGGTCGCTGCGGAATGCGAGCACCTGCAGGGCAAGTTACGAGCAATGCAGTTGGAAATGGAACAGAGCCAGGCCAGAGCAGCGGAGATGAACGCCGAATGGAGCGGGAAGTTGACTGTACTGGAAGGCAAGGTTGCTGATTTGAAGCGCATGGAGAGGGCAGCGTTAGATGCTTCGACGAGGGCAGCGGCCTTAGAGGCGGCAGTTCGTGTACATGAGTCCGAGCGAGAGTCGGAGAGAGCTACTGCAGCCCTTAGGGAGGCGAGGCTCGAGGAGCGGATTGGTGCGGTTGACCAGGAGGCCTTGGCCTTGTCGGATCGAGTTGCGGCCTTGGAGGAGGAGAATCAACGGTTGAGAGCCCAGGCTGGATCATCCCGTGCCGCTGTTCCCCGCCAGGCTCATGAGCTCTAGGTCTACGCTGAAGCTCAACGTGACATTTTCAAGAGCTTGTAGGAGGCGGGCACCGTGACTGAGGCAGCTTTCGAGGAGGCGTGCCAGAAGGCTTGTGAGGCTCGAGCGAATTGTGGATATGATGTGGCGACACCCGAAGCTTATGGGGACGCAAGTGGTGATGATGATAACGGCGGTGTTGGCGCTGAGTGATAGAAAATTGTGTTTCGTTGTTTGTCGTTTTTTTGTTTCGTATGCCGATGGGCGTTTTTTTGTTTCTTGCTGTCTTCTTCCCCTCTTTCCCCTTTCTTCTTTTTTTTTAGTTGGCTGGCCCGGACCAGATGTAAGCGGCAATAGCCCGTATTCCTGACTTCATGAATAAAGAATTCTTCTTCGCTTCTTGCTTTACATTTCAGTCCTCTGTCGATTTACGATCTTGTCGTGGGGTGGGGGCTCGTCAGACGAGTCCCGGTTCCCCTTATGTGATGAAAGTTTCTGGTCGTGGGTTTCGTTACGAACTCTTCGAGAGGATAGCTCGTCTCAGTTTGAGCGAGGTCGAATTTGTCGCTCCTTGATGGTATTCAGGCACAACTCGAATCCCAGTTCGATCGAGGTCGAACTGTCAAATTTTGATGGCGAAGGCACTTAGCCTGAGTCCCAGTTCGAGCGAGGTCGAACTGTCAAACTTTGATGGCGAAGGCACTTAGCCCGAGTCTCAGTTCGATCAAGGTCGAACTGCCAAACTTTGATGACGAAGGCACTTAGCTTGAGTCCCAGTTCGAACGAGGTCGAACTATCAAACTTTGATGGCGAAGGCACTTAGCCTGAGTCCCAGTTCGAGCGAGGTCGAACTGTCAAACTTTGATGGCGAAGGCACTTAGCCTGAGTCCCAGTTCGAGCGAGGTCGAACTGTCAAACTTTGTCAAACTTTGATGGCGAAGGCACTTAGCCTGAGTCCCAGTTCGATCGAGGTCAAACTGTCACACTTTGATGGCGAAGGCACTTAGCCTGAGTCCCAGTTCGATCGAGGTCGAACTGTCACACTTTGATGGCGAAGGCACTTAACCTGAGTCCCAGTTCGATCGAGTTCGAACTGTCACACTTTGATGGCGAAGGCACTTAGCCTGAGTCCTAGTTCGAGCGAGGTCGAACTGTCAACCTTTGATGGCGAAGGCACTTAGCCTGAGACCCAGTTCGAGCGGGGTCGAACTGTCAAATTTTGATGGCGAACAAACTTTGATGGTGAAGGCACTTAGCCTGAGCCGGGTCGAACTGTAAATTTTATGGCGAAGGCACTTAGCCTGAGTCCCAGTTCAAGCGAGGTCCAACTGTCAAATTTTGTTGTATCAAACTTTGATGGCGAAGGCACTTAGCCTGAGTCCCAGTTCGAGCGAGGTCGAACTATCAAACTTTGATGGCGAATTAGCCTGAGTCCCAGTTCAAGCGAGGTCCAACTGTCAAATTTTGTTGCGAAGGCACTAGCCTAGCTCGATAGGGTACCTTTGATGGCGAAGGCACTTAGCCTGAGTCCAGTCGGGCGTTAAGTGTCGGCTTCGTTTTGGCCTGTGGTTGTATGTTGTACCCGTGTTGTGATTGTTCGCCTGACCGTGGCATTCAGGTTGCTTCTAGGTGATATTCGATTCCTCGTTTGAAAACACCTCTGCGCCGGTTTACGGCCTGGCACAGTGTGGTGGATGAGGGGGGATGCTTTGCATCACTTCTTTCCTCGCTCGGGCTGTTCGAGGTCAACAGGGCGGAAGACTTCTAGCTCCCGTTGGCGCATTCGATTCTTCCTTTTTTTTGTTTGATGCGCCTCCATTGATTCTGGTTTGAGTCGAATTTTCTTCTTGGTGTTTCCTTTTCTTCGATCCAGGAAGAACTAAGTATTTTCACTAGGAAATCCCCACAGACGGCGCCAAATTGTTTGACTCAAAAGTTGTTTAACACTTTTTAAGTAAATCAATCAATATAGATGAAGGGGTAAATCATAGTCAACCATAATTAATATGGATCAAAGAGCAGAATCATAAAGATAAAAGAGACAATTGAGATGACACTTGGGAAGTTTTATTAATTGTAGAAATTCGGCCTGCCTCTCCTTGGAGAGGTTCAGGAGATTACAATCAAATTCTTTCTGAACTGTCAAACTTTGATGGCGAAGGCACTTAGCCTGAGTCCCAGTTCGAGCGAGGTCGAACTGTCAAACTTTGATGGCGAAGGCACTTAGCCTGAGTCCCAGTTCGAGCGAGGTCGAACTGTCAAATTTGATGGCGAAGGCACTAACACGTCCNATCAAATTTTTTCTCTCCCCCTTCTCGGGGGTGGAATCTCTCTCTTTATAAAATTGTCTGGTCTCTCTTTCATGGAGTCCTCCTCTGTTTTTGGCTCCTCTCCCCCCTTTAAGGGGTTCTTCTGCTCTCTATTTATAGCCCAGAACTTCTCGTGCTTATCATATTTCATTCGGGCCGGGTCGGGGAGGTGACCTCCCCTCATGGGGAGATCTCGGCCTCGACGCTCATGTCGTAAATAGCAGCGTTTAGGTGAAGTCGAGTTCGTTGATTACTACTGCAGGGTGGTCGGGACGGGATCATTACTGCTGTGGTCGTGTGGTCAGATTCTGACCAATACAGTCATTAAATAAGGTAAGGGATCTTTGAAAATGCTACAACTGTAAATTGAATGTGTTTTTTTTTGGAATAAAACATAAGTACTATTATTTGTATAAATATTTTTTAATAAGAGTCCTACCATGTAAAAATCTCAAAAATAAGCTTACTAGAAATTCAGCAAAATGGACCATTTCCAATTATCATGAAAAATACCAAGTGTGAATGATTCGCTACAGGAAACAATTTTTTGTATTTCTCTAAGCTTTATATATAACTAGTCAACAACCGACAACCACCAAAGGTTTGTGGGATGGATCGATCCCTTAACCCTCCGGAAGTCTTGAATTCGAATCTTGAATGTATATTTTGTAAGGAGAGACCTCTATTTTTTGAATTAGTCGAAAGTCCCAATACAAATAACAATACTTATACAAATTAATATTATTTTTGATGAAGGTAGTTGGACCAATTCGCCGCATATTAAAAAAATGGACAGAGGAGGGTGAACTACCTTTTGTCGTTGCAACCATATCATGTACTCAAGGTGCAGAATCCTACTTGAACAAAATTTCCACGTTTTAGATCATTTTTGTTAGAACATGCACAGCGGAAGCAAGCATACAATTCAGGCATTAAATACATGTAAATTAGACAACGCAATAATAACGAGATTAGAAGCATAACCTCTTGAACTAGTTGCACAAATCCTCCCAACAACAAGAATCCAGGGCTGCAGTCTTCTGTTATTTGTCTAGTAAAACCTTGGACGATTTTGCTTTTGGGTGGGCAAGAACAATACAACTAAAAGGTAAGTTATTAGGTGAAAGTAGTCTTCCTTTAATACACCTGAAATTAAGCCACAATAGGGACTAAAAAACGTGTAGGATTCTGCAAGTAGAATCCTACTCTAACTCAAAAGGATAACTTTTTCTCCCAAGCTACTTTTTACCCAAATCTGTCCAGATTTTTACTAGGTATAGCAGGGATCGCAGAAATAATAAGAGGCTACTAATTATAGTATTAATTCGAAATTAGCATGAATTAATTCTTACTATAATTAATTGTAATTTATTCCACTAAAAAACTGCAATTGAACTCCTCAATATGAATTTCAAAAATTCAATAACACTTAGTTTAACTCCCCATGTTAAGATTTTAAATACCAGTTAATTAAATTAAATCACTGAAAATTTAATTCAATTAACTAATTAAATCCTTTATAATTCCGCTTAAACTATTTCATCTGACGGATACAAAATCCACCGGCCGGGTTTTCACATGAAAACTTATAAGCTTACATAAAGGGGTATCATCAAACCCAAAACCGAGTCATGGATTCTATCAACTAATTATTATTCACAAATGTTATTCGTTATTGTCCAATCTATTAGGCATACACTAACTCTAAATAGAGCCGTACCTTTTGATAAATCAAAACAATAAACAAATTATATTGATCATAATGATTATATCAAGATTAGGAGTATAAGCTCATTTAGTGAATTAGAGATAATGTTTTATATATTCAGTACAAAAACATCTTTTCTCTACTTGATCCGTTCAATATACACTGAGTATACTAGCACAGGAAGTTGGAGTAAAACTACTCCCATAATCAAGACAAATTATACGATAATCTTGTGCTACAATCATCAAGATATTTTGTCCAACAATATCTTTGATTGTGAACATAGTTTATTAATTATGAGAACCAACAATTTAATCATCTGTGCATGAGCTAAGACCCCATACACTAAATTGTCTACTACATAACTAAAAGGACACACATGTAACAAATGATCTATTTAAAATAGCACTTTATTGAATTGAATAAATTAAATAAATAATTATTCCATAAAGAATAAAATATAATACTATGTCTAAACCGCATGATTAATAGTATATCCCAACAATTTTGCCCGACGAAGTGTTTTCTTCACATATTTTTCACATTTCAGTTCATTTTTACCAACTAATTATTTACTTTCAAATTTTCTTCCCTTTCTAAATTTTCAACTGCTACCATAATTATCTTTCACAAGTAGTTTAAGATATGTGATCGGTAAATATTTATTCTTGCCGAATGTGTAACGAGATAGCACGGAAGCAAAGAAGAGAAAGCAGCAACAACAATAATAACATATTCAGTATAATCTTATAAGTGAGCTCCGAGGAAGGCAGTGTGTATGTAGACCTTATTCCTACCTGGTGAGGTAAAGAGTTTGTTTTCGATACACCATCGGCTCAAAAAAAGGTGAAAAGAGAGAGAAGGGAAAAAGACGAAGAAGAAAGAAGAAGAAGAAAGAAAGCATAGGAAGACAAAGGACGATAAGAAAAAGGAGAAAAAGACAACAACAACAACAAGTAAAAAGAAGTAGCATCAAATCGTAACAAACTAGAAAATACCATAGACGGAGCGAAGGAAACAATCGACAAATACTAGAGGTCAAAGAATACCAAAAAAACATGATCGTTACTAATACTACTAAAAAAGAATATGGAACTATTAGTCTTCTACCTAACGCTCGATCTCCATGCCCTGCTATCCTGGATCATGTCCTCGAAGAAGAGAAAGCATGACCAGTAAAATAAGAGGCCTAGGATCATAGGAGCCTATCTTTTTATCCAGCTGATAATGATGGAATCTTAATGAAGGTGACGAAACTTTAATCATTTTCCACCATTAAACGAAATATCCAACTTTTTCATCCGTGACCTAACGAAGAAATTTCCATGTGCCTATCCAAAAGTGCAATTAACTTCAAAAAGTTACTGCACGCTATATTATAATTGGCAAAAAAGTATACTTCCTTTCTGATAAAATAAATATTTTCCTATTATACTGCAGTTTTTTTCAAACAGATTCGATTCGATCCACCATTAAAATCCAATAATCACAAAGTTTTTAAACCCCACGGATCCAAACATAAAATGTTGCACTGACTCTATTTTCCACTGATCAGGTATGTATAGTTTGTCCCTCTCAACGTCTCTGTCTATTCTGAATTCTGACTGTTCAATTTTTGCGGTTTTCGATTGAAAAATGTGAAACCCGTTTGCTTAAATAGATTTAAGTATTTGACTAGTATAATTTTCTAGGTTTTACTTTCCTTCGAAATTATTGGTTGATTTACTTCTTGTATTGGTATTATTTTAGTGTTACGTGTCTTCTCTCTTGTTTCCTACTGTCATCTGCTGTCGTAATGGCGTATGTAGTTTTGTTAGAAAAGATAATGTAGAAGCCAAAAGTCCATATTGAGTCGGTTTTGTATGATTACAAGTCTCAATTTGATTACCCAGTCTTAGCCATCTTTAGCCGCCTACTCTTCTTAACTCTGTCATCTTCCATTACTAATTCTTGTTTCTTACACGCGTAAATTATATTCAAGATTCAGCCCTCTCATCTACAAACTTCAGTTTGTACATAAATAGTAAACCCCCCCCCCCCCCTTTTTTTTCTTGTTCTG